AAAAATTACAGTGAGTACCTAATATTGCTAGGAGCCTACTGTACAAATTTTAGATTCAACAATATTACCAATTTATCATAGAAATTCCTACAAGTTTATATTTTACAATATTAAGTACCTTAAATTAATTATATAGCTTCCAAGAATATTATCAAACTACGTGAACAAAATATACTAACAAGTAGATCATGATTTTAGAAGACTAACAAAATTGGTTTCATCATTTTTAGACACCTACACAATTTTATTTTGATTTTACAAGTTTATTTCCAAAACTACTTTAACAAATGCGTAGAAAGCTAAAGGCCAGCGACAAGGTAGCCTGGGCGAGCAGGCAACGGCCCAGGCGGACGGGCGCGCGGTGGCCCAGGCACGGGAGCGGCACACGGCCGGCCCAGGCGCAGGCAATCGGCCCGGCCCAGCGCGTGGGCGAGCGCGGCCAGAGGCCTAGGTGGAGGCAGACGACCCAACAGGCATGCGCGCGGCAGTGGCCCATGCGGCCAAGGCAGCCCAAACAGCGAGGCGCACGTGCGGACGTGAGTGGCCCAACAGGCCGGCCCATGCGGCGTGGCCCAGGCACAGGCGCGCGCATTTACAGAAAGAACCTTATGTTTTTCTCTATTCAACCCGAGATCCAGAGCACTATTTCTATGAGTCTCGTATTTCGCAGTAAGGACCCTGTATAAAATTTTCGCTTGGATTCATACCCTTTTCTACCTTCTCAAAGCAGAGCACGGCACAGAGGCACCGACCGGCAGCGGCGGCAACGACGCATCCAAGCAACAGGCACGGTCGGTGGCGGCGCGGCATGGCGGCTGCGGTGATGGCCGAGCACGGAACAAAGGAGGCCATCCGCCGGCCATGGAAAATGGCTCGCCAGCGGCGGAGGTGAAGCAGGGGGCCGCGGGCGGATCAGGCGCGGGTGGACCCGGTTGGCCTCGAGACGGCGCCGTGGAGCTACGGAGTCGGAAACCTAGCACGGCCGTGGAGGCACGCGTGCGCTCGCACGGGGGAGGGGCCTGCACCGGCGGGCGTGAGGCGCGGTGCGGCGGCGCGTGACCATGGCGAGGTGGCCTGGTGACGCGGCAGCGGCGGGGCGCTTCGCCGGCTCCCAACAACAAGCGGGCCGGCGCGGAGCACGAGACGCTGCTACGACAGGCGTGGTCAGCAGCGACTGTGGGGAGGAAGAGCGCGGACGAGCCGGCTGACGAGGCGCGGCTCCTCGATGACTCAAGCTTGGCCGACGGCGGGCGCGAGACGCGGAGGTGGAGCGGCGCTGTGGGGAGGAAAAGGAGGGGTGCCGGTGCTTCACGGGCCCAGGCACGCGGGGAAGGCGTCATGGTGCTGCGGCGGCCGCGAGCGAGGAAAAGGAGGGCGAGCAGGGGAGGGCAACGCTGCGGGTCCCGCACGCTCGCGAGGAGCCGGACCATGGACGGCGTCGGACGGCATGGCCACAGCGAGCAGCAGCCAGAGGGGAGAGCGGAGGCGAAATTGCACGCAGAGAGGCAGGGCGGGGGAAGCTGTGGACCAGCGCGAGGCAAGCTAGGATGGTGCCGTGGATGCTCGCACGCGCGGGAGGAAAAAGGAGAACGGCGCGGGCAATCAGAGGGAGGCGAGGGAAGCAAGGAGTGACCGACGGACACGGCAGCAGAAATAGAAAAACAAGGGGACAACATCACGAGGTTTCGGCCAACTTCTACTATGCAGGGACCACGCGGACTGGCACAACGTGGTCGGCAAGGCAACCCGATTAACCTCCACCAATAATTATTTTACGCAAAAGTTCATGCTTCGCACTAACCTACAGAGACAAAATATTTAAGCACTATGTAATTACTTTGCTCAATATAGTTTGCCAAAAATGATATTTTAAATTTTTAAAATTCGAGAAACTCACTTCGAAAATTCTACTTAGGCCTAATTCGCGGTGCTAAACAAGATCATAACATCAAAGATGTTACACACACCAAAGGGGGAGGCCCCACATGTCATAGGGGGCCCCTCAAGTCAGCTGACCTACGAAAGTGACCCATGGACTTACCACCGACTCAAGCATGCCTCCATGCATCTTCACTTGATCTCTACCATCAATCTGGTCGGTTTGATCCTATGGTGAAGAAGAAGCATCACGTGAATTGATGGGTCTACATAGAGCACTATATATAAAAATAGATAAACAGTAACATTCTTATTTGATTCCATAGGCATCCAATGAGTTCCCAAACATAATCTACTATAATTAACCTTAGACAAGTGTGGCAAGATAAAAAAAGTATGGCTACCAAATTAGAAGCCACACTTTATCATACTTAAAGGAATCTTCCAACTTTTTTACTCTATGACAGTGGAGTCCAGAAAAAATCTTGCCTAAGCTTAGTCAATAGTCACCAATCAAATACTTACTAATTTGGTCAAATTTACCTGAGATGAAGTGTGATAAAATGTGGCTAGCACCCAAATAGTCCTGTATCTCTACCTGCTTCACAAGCAGCAGCGGGACCAAGGTGTGCTTAATGGTTTATGGTTGTCGAAAGATACAGCACCAAGCCACTTGTCCAACTTGGACTTTTTTTTTATCACCCAACTTGGACTTTTGGTTGTATACGGAAGCGGAGCAAGGGAGAGTCATCAGTGATGCGGTTGTGCGCGACTGGATGTCACGTGCGTTCGACAGGCGACAGGAGGCGGGCAGGGACCTGGCCAATCAGCCTGTTCGGTTCGTTTACGTGAGAGAAAAATATTGCTCACTGATTTATTGGAATAGTATCTATGTGAGGGGGCTGGCCAGCCCAGCCAGCCAGCCAGCCAGCCCCAGCCGAACACGGCGAATATCTTTTCCAGCTCCGTGTGATGATTGCTGCTCCTCTGCTCTTTTTAAATTTGATTAAATATATTATATAAAAATATTAATATTTATAGTACATAATTAATATCGTTAGATAAATAGTTAAATATAGAGATATAAATGTTGTTAATATTTTCTACGAACCTAATCAAACTTAAGAAATTTTGACCAACATGAATATTATAGCGACATTTATTCAGGGACCGAGGGAGTATTCATATTTTGAATCAGTAAAAAGCAAACAAAATAAATTTTGATCGCTAATTTTCCTAATTACATGTCATTTGCTAGAAAAGCAAAATCATCTCAAAAGTTGTTGTAAAAATTATCTTCTAAAAAACACTTTAAACACAAATCCATTAATATAAATTTTGTATCCAAAATTTGTATGTAACTTGAATAATTGTTGGTCCATGTTCGTAAAAAAGAATTACATTTTTCCTATAAAAAATATGATTAGTATTCTACAAATTAATTTAAGTCCTCGACTCAACCGGAACGCTTTCGTTTTTCTGGATTTTATTCAAGTAAGGGATGTTCTCGTTGACAACAAGGTCCAGTGTAGTCTCTCGGACATACTCATGCTCATAGGAATAGAGTGTGCTTGTGTGTTTATAGGATGTGTGGACACGTATATGCGCAAGTGTGCATATGTAATGTACTGGGTTTAAAAATAGTATGGTTGTTATTTTAGGACGAAGAGAATAACAACCACTAGTCGATTAATTTGTCTTTCTGGAATCGAGATTATATATTATTACACTTTTCCTAATGGTCAGATGCTTGAGTTCTAACTTCTCTTCAGGTGATATCGTATCCACACTCCTGCCTTGATTTTTTCTCCGTCAAGCTGAATCTTAGCCTTACATGTTCTTGAGCCAACGGTGAAGATCGTTGCAGAAAGCTGAAATATAGAAAGCTCCTATTTATACAGTCATCAGCAGAAATGCGAGGTTGTTGAGTCTTCCCCAGTAGACGTCCAGCCGTTGAACGCCGCGGAGGATCGGCTCATAGGCCTGCTGCCGCCACCGCCGCCGCCCCTATCTCTCTCGCCAGTCCTCCGGCAGCAGTTGCTACTTGCTAGTCGCACCTCCTCCCCCCGCAGCGTATACTTAGCGCGTACAGCTCGTCAGCAGCCCCCTCGTCGCAGCAAGCAACTCGCCACCGCCCGTGCGTGGGGCCGCGGCTGGTCCCAGGCGGCGCCGGCAACTCGTCCCTCGTCGCAGCAACTCGCCACCCGCTGTCTTCGTCCTCAAGGGCGGCGCCGGCAACTCGTCCCTCGTCGCAGCAACTCGCCACCCGCTGTCTTCGTCGTCCTCAAGGGCGGCGCCGGCAACTCGTCCCTTGGGCGCTCGGCCGCCCGCCGCTCCTGTCTTGTCTGCCGGGCGGGCGATGGAGTACGCGGCCACGGTCAGACAAGGGACTTGGGTCCTTGATGGGATAAGGTGAGCGAGGGGCAGTTTAATTTCGTCGTTAACATCACTGCAAATTCGAAATTTCATTTTTGTTATTGGATTTGTATTGTATATTATATGGATGGGTATATGGTGATAAATATGTGTATCAGCTAGCCGCTAGCATATTTAAGTCGAAGCTACTATATGTGTATAAATTCCTCATTTAGGCCTATTGGTTTGTTTTTCTTCGACTTTTCACTTGTACTCTGACTGTTTCCTCTCTCTATCGATATATTTTCCTGGCATATTCCTGCCAGCAGTTTTTTAAAAAAATATTAGAGAAACAAAGCACACTTTTTGCGTCGCCGTCACGTCCTGACGGTTGGATATCGTCTAAATAATATTTTTTTGAGAACACGTCCCTTGACATGTTTTTCATTAAGAGGAAGTTTTAATCGTTTACAATGGTTACCGCACCTCCAATGCGAGAAGCGTAGCAGGGGCGGTGACCGTGCACGCGACGCTTAGACAACCACCCAATCATACACTATCACTTTTTCTCTGCTCTTTAATTAATTTGTTTAATTTAACTCCAAGCTAAGCTAGCAATGACTTTAGTCTTTTTGCTCTCTTCTTCTATCAGTCTCATTATCAATTGCATTTGTGTGGGTGAAAAAAAAATCTAAATTTGTTGGTGCGCCTGCACTCTCTGTAGCCCTGCAGCAGCAGCAGCAACGAGGAAGAGGAGAGGCACGGCGATGGCAGGTCGAGGGCATGAGGATTTGAGAAGGGTGGTGGAGATGCTGCGTCTAGATCGCATGGAGGAGCAGTTCCGGCTGCTGCGCGCCAGCACCCTGCTTGCGGAGCTCCGGTCCGCCGTCTCGCTCGTCCAGACCCACGACACGGTCTCCAGCGGGTCCAGCAGCAGCCTGAAGCTCATCTTCTGCGTCCGGTCTCTGGCCGCTCCGTTGCGCGACCTGCTGGAAGCAGTGCTGCAGCACACGGAGGTGGGAGCCCGGGTGCGAAGAGCGGCAGGAGAGGAATGGCGTCAGGTGCCTGCCGTCCTGTACAAGTACCTCGTTTTCCGCTCGGCCACGATTCGGGATCTCCGGCAGTTCCTGCGCAAGTTCAGGTCGTTGGTGACGTACATGCAGCAGGAGCACCACCCTCCTCGCCGCCTAGTCAGATACGGCGGCGGCGACCACGACGGCAGCTCCCTCTCCTGTACAGCACGGCGGCCCTTGCTCGTAACAGGGATGGCCTCGAGAGCCAATGGTGGGGAGATCGGAGCTGCTGGAGAAGATGGTTGGCACATTGCTCAGCGACAGGACTGGCTACCGTGCGCTGCTGATGGTGCCCATCGTCGGGGGTCCTGGTGTTGGGAAGACCCGCATCGCCAAGGCCATCCTGGACGATGCCAGGATCAAGCACAGGTTCCCCGTACGCCTCGTGGTGCCAGTCGCGCAGGACTCGTGCCTCGAAAGGATCCTCATGCTCATGGTCTCCCCGGACCGGCGGGCGGACGTCACCTACTCTCTAGAAACTATGGCGAAGCACATTGACCGCAAGCTAAGCGGGGGGAGCTACCTGATTGTTCTGGATGACGTGTGGAGTGACAACGAAGGCAAGTGGCAGGAAATAGGCACCGTGGTGAACACCATGCCTTCCAATGGCGTCCTGGTCCTCACCACCCGGACCCCCGATATCGCATCCAAGCTTGCCACCATGGCAGACATTCCTTATACCATCAAGCCCTTCTACCTGCATCCTCTGGGACAGGAGTTCTCCTCCTCCTTCGTCGACAGATGGATAGCTACTTGCCATGGTGATTGGCATGCTGATGAGCTCGTCAGGAAAATTGGTACCAAGATCGCTGCCAAATGCTGCGGCGTGCCCCTGCTGTTGGACTGTGCACGCAGAGTTTTCTGCCAACCCTGGATCTGCAATTCTGGCAAGGATTATTTCTCCAGGACGACATAGGCGGCGACAATAGGATTATTCATCCAGACATGTTCCAGCAGGAGCTACCGTTGTGCATTGACCTCCTTCCATCTGACAAGTTCTGGCAGCGATTCCTGGCGCATTATTCTCGTGATGAATTCTTCCCGGATGGAAATGTACTCTTACAGAGTGCTTCTGCTAGCTACCAACATCTCCCAGCTGACCTGCAAAGCTGCTTCTTGTATTGCTCAGTCTTCCCTTCAGACTACGACTTTGATGTCGAAGAGTTGGCGGATCTTTTAGCAGCTGATGGAAACATACCACCTGTTGTAGCGAAAGCCCAACGGAAAGGATTCCTGCAGCAGCTCCTAGACGAGTGCTTCTACCCGATGCATGGACATGAATATGGAGACAAGCATACGTTTAGGATGCACAAGGTGCTGCACATCTTTGCACAAAACATGGATAGGCGATTCAGCTCAATTCTAAGGGTTCACCATGCAAATCAGGTCACTGATCCTAAAGTTGAAGCTCAAAGTACTATTCGACGTAGCTCGTTAATTGTTCACCCTTTGGCTGCATCATTTCCTAGAAGCTTGCTTGCATGCAAAGATTTAAGAGCACTGATACTTCTTCAACAAGGACCAATGTGCCCACCTGACCAGCTGCGATGTGAGATCACTGAGATACCTCAAGAATTTCTACAGTCATTTAAGAGTATGCATACCTTGAGTCTCATAGCTACTAAGATCAGGATTCTACCTGCTAAATTTATTCAGCCCCACCACATGAAATATCTCAACCTTTCACAAACAGATATTGAAAACATCCCCAGTGCAATCTCCAGGTTTCCGTTTCTTCAAACACTCATACTTTCATACTGTGATAAACTCCAAAAACTGCATCCCAACACAACCAAACTGACACTTTTACAGAAGCTGGACCTTGAAGGCTGTTGCAATCTTATTGAACTGCCTCGAGACATGAGTAAAATGAAGAGCCTTGAATATCTAAATGTTACAGAGTGCTCATCGCTCACTCAACTGCCGTGTGGGATGGGCCAACTGAAAAGCCTTCAAATGTTATTGGGTTACATTGTGTCCTACACTGATGGAAGTTCAATGTCAGAGTTGCAACCATTGGCAAACCTCCATAGGTTAAGTCTGCAAAGCTTAGAAAAGGTTTCAGATCTTTTGATGTAAGGGATGCAATGCTGCAAAACAAAACAAAGCTCGAGTCGTTTTCAATCCGGTGGAATATGGATGGCACAAATAACACTACACTAGCTTATGCAGTACTTGAATCTCTCCGACCTCACCGATGTCTTAAAGCACTGGAGATCGTTGCGTATGAAGGGAACTATCTTCCATCCTGGATGACAAGCACTGAACCATATCTCGAGTTCCTTGTGGAGGTGAAGCTAATTAATTTGAGGTCATGTGAAACACTATTGCCTTCACTGGGATTACTACCATGTCTGAAGATTGCTGAAATAAGTGGAGCTGAAACTGTCTGCAGTGTCAGTGCAAATATCTATGGCCACAGAGGCGCATTTCGTTCGTTGGAGAAACTAACTTTCTCTTATATGCATAACCTTGAAGTCTGGGAGCAGGCGCAGTGGTCAGGTATGTTTCCACGTCTTGCAGAATTGGCAATCATCCAATGCCCCAAAATGAGAGCATTGCACATGGAGCTCCCATCACTTGAAAAGTTGATCCTTTGGATGAACAACAAGGTGCTGTATAACCAGAAAGGAACCTTGCAAGGTGTGGCTAAGACCCTGGAGCACATATCGATTTCCTTCGGCGAAGAGCTGCTAGCTTCTTCGGGCTGCGAGGCCCTGCAGGATCTTGATGAGCTCACAAAGCTGGAGATATGTGGGTGTGAAGAGCTGACGTGTCTTCCACAGGGTTTGCAGCGTCTTTCATCCATGAGAAGCTTGACGATTGACAACTGCAGAAGACTGGAGGCATTACCAGATTGGCTGGAGAACCTACCTTCTCTTCAAATCATACGCTTGTCAGGCTGTCCTCTGTTGCATTACATTCCTAGAGGGTTGCAACAACGTCCTGGTGTCATTATATATGTTGAGGACTGCCCCAATTTAATACAAGATCATCTTCCCAATTTCTCAGCACAATCATCAGGTACCTCAACTTTTAGTCATTATATATGTACATATAAAGATAGTAATTTCGTTAGGATGTTTAATTTAGCGATTTCGATGGCAGTTGTTAACTTGTTATTATCTTAACTGTCTAAAAAAAGCTGAAAATTTTTGTTGTCTAAATATCAATACTCACTCATCTTATAATGTTTACAGTTGAATTTGGTTGACCACATTGACAACTGTATTCACACACCTCCCTGAAAAAAAAAAAACAGCATGCCGCTTCTATTTTATAGCTTCCTAGCTCATTTGTTTTGTCTGCACTTGGGCCATCCAATTTGAGGTGCCTTAAACTTCTTCGTTGCAGGAGAACCTGTTGGTGCTCGAGTCAACAAGGGGAAAGAAATCGTCCAAGATTAGTAGTTCTGGCAATGCTTTTTTTGGGGGCGCACTGCAAGAATGAGATATGGAGTTACTGGGTGGGTTATGTTCTGTGCTGATATTCTGTTGATGCTGGAATGGCCACTTAGGGACTGTGTTTTCCTGCTGTCCAGTGGAATCTGGATTCGTTGAAGCCGTGAGTTTGTAGAGCTCCACTCTCAGTTTTTTAGAAGCACGTTCCGTATCCCTATCAAACGCTTAAAATGGAAATAGATTTTGGTGGAAAGTTGATAAGAACCACTTCTTCATTTAGACACTGAGCTGGGAGCTAAAAACCCTTCTCCCCATTGCTCCTCGTTCAATCACCATCAGAATCGCTTCGGATTCAACTCTCACATGCTCTCCAATTAGAATCACCCAATCGGAAAATAAGAAGTGAAAATTAAGAATAAGGAAGGAGAGCTCTACCAAATTGACCCTACAGTCACAATTTTAAGGAAAGATACTACAATTTTCATTACAAAATAGAGTTTTAAAATATTAAATAAGAGTAAAAAAGAAAAATATGCGTCCCTACAGTCACAATTTTAAAGAAAGATGCTACAATTTCCATTACAAAATGGAGTTTAAAAATATTAAATAAAGAGTAAGAAAAAATATGCCCCTACAGTCACAATTTTAAAGAAAGACGCTAAAGTTTCCATTATAAAATAGAGTTTTTAAAAATATTGAATAAAGAGTAAGAAAATTTTTAAAGAAAGATGCTACAATTTCCATTCCAAAATGAAGATTATTAAAAGATAGTATTAAATAAAAGAAAGAAAAAACAATGAAGACTATTAAAGATAGTATTAAATAAAAAGAAAGACTATTAAAGATAGTATTAAATAAAAAGAAAGACTATTAAAGATAGTATTAAATAAAAGAAAGATAAAACATGCTGGCTGTGGGGTTCGAACCCACGCGCACTTCAGTGCAGAAGATCTTAAGTCTTCCCCTTAACCACTCGGGCAAACCAGCTGCGATGCTTTTTTAAACAGAGTAATACTTAATTTCACTTTTAGTACCTACTCTATGTGCCATCCCCTGCAAACGAGCTGGATGGATGCAAGGCCTGTAATGAGCCAGCTCGAGCGAATTTGTTATATTAGCGAATTAAAAACTCAGCTTGACTTGACTTGTTATCTGAGCTTGAGCTGACTCCTTTAGCTTATAAGCCAAATAATAAAAATCACATATAATATATTATATATAGTTATCTAAAACTTGAGAATAGTAATAATATAAAATAATTTACCATCAACATTAAATCAAATGACACAAATTAACACATACTCACGTGTACAAATACGACCATACATCTTTTTCCCTTGACACAGAGTACACCTCCCATTTAGTCTGCAATATCCTTTACACCACATTTGGATGTCAACATTCACGTTTGTAATTTGGAATTGAAAATGGAAGACCCAAATTCAAGCGTTTGGATGGTCAAGGAATTTAGTGTCTGTCGAGTATCAGTATGGATACCTGACAGAAAGAAGCTGATGGCCGCGAACGCTAACGCACCCGGATGGTCAAGAGCATATTTTGGTCTCGCCCGACCCCGAGGGTACGAGCTCCATCTCGTCCGACCCCGAAGGTACGGGCTCCATGTCGTCCGACCCCGAGGGCGTGGGCTCCGTCTCGCCTTACCCCGAGGGAGCGGGCTCCGTCTAGCCAGACCCCTCGGGCGTGGTCTTCGCCTTGCCCGGCCCCGAGGGCGTGGGCTCCCTGTCGCCCGACCCTGAGGGCGCGGACTCCGTCACGCCCGACCCCGAGGGTGCAAGCTCCATCTCGTCCGACCCCTCGGGCACGAACCTCGCCTCGCAAGACCCCTCGAAGGGGGATTCCGCCTCGCCCGATGGGGTCCGTACCGCCTCCAACCACTACGGGTCTAAGAATACGAACTCAGGGTCAAACTTCTGACATCTGAAACGGAGTGGGCGTGTGTTGACGTGACCCGCGGCCACGACGGCCCATGCATGAGGACTCACGTCGCCAACAATATCGGACGTGCCGGCGTTGTTCTACTTAATCCCTGCACAACTTCCGTCAGAGCTACCTGTTGAGCATGCTGCCTGCGCGGGATAGAATGGGACGCCATGACCGGCTGACGACGCCCGCGTGTGGCGTCGGTGGCGAATATGGTCACGACGTGGAGCCATCCCCGTCATCATCCACAGGACCGGCGGGACCCACGTGAAGGAGATGAAGGGCACCGCGACTCCGGAGGCCTTGTTCTCCCTCGCTTTTTTGCTCTTTCTCTTTCTCTCATATAACTTGCGCCTTCCCCTTCATCTATAAAAGGAGAAGCAGGACGCCCCACGAAGGCAAAAAAAAAATGGCTCAATGCTGAAAGGAACTGAGTTCAACTAGACTTAACTCCATTCGATCCATCCATCAGAGACTTGAGACTTTCTCCCTCTCTCGCCCGTTTGTAACCCCTACTACAAACAGGTGTCGGTAACACGAGCAGCCTCGAACTGGACGTAGGGACATTCCGCTCGAACCAGTATAAACCCTTGTGTCATCTGAGCACACCATCCTGACCAGACTCGCAAACATAAATTTACTAGTTGGCGGACCAACAGTGTCCAAAAACATTCTCCATTCCCGCATGTTATTCAGCCCAACGAACACACCCCTCGGCGATTCTGAGAAGAGACCCTCCGTATTCCCTGGAAATCGCGTATCCTTGGTTCTCATCTCCTCAACACATGACCACACCCTCGCCTAGTTCTCCACTCTCATATGATGACAGAGTTGGCCCTGCAAATTGGAGCTCCCTGAGGATACGTCGGAGCTGCTCGTCGTCGGCTCTGCCATCACGCAGAAGCTCCCTACATCCCACTTCTCTCCTTCCTCGGAGCTCCTGGAAGCCGTGCTGGGGCTACTCGCCGTTGGCTCCCCCGTCACGCAGAAGCTCCCCGTAGCTCTCTTCTCTCCTTCCTTAGGGCCGGTGCACCATATACCTGATCTACATCTATGCCACTCCTGCCGTTGGCGTCCTGTGATTGGAAAAAGAACGACATGGGGCTAGGTTATAGGCATGTACCACATCTACAGACTACAACTCCTTGTCTTCCTCTAGAATTCTGGATTGCAGCGATATAAGTTATGCAGACAACATTTGGAAATGAATTATATCTCGATTGTTTCTGCAATTTCTCATGCCATCTAAACCATAGCATTGGGTTTGAGCCTCATTTCAATTCCCACTCAGTTTTGGTATTGAACCCATTTCAATTCCATATCCCTGAATACTGACATCAAACAGGGTTGAGATTTTTCAATCCGGTGAAAATACCTATGCCAATTTTTTATATTAAAGATGAAATAGGTGATTTGCTGGAGATGCTAGTAAACCCAGTGAGATTTCACTCGTGCTTTGGGGGACTAAACCGCAGAGCCAACCACCCCGCAAGTACACGCTTCTCTTCCCTTCCCGCGCAGCTCTTGCGCTCCGCCCCCTCCAACTCGTCGAAACCCCACACCGGACCCATTCCATATCCATACTTCCATTTCTAATCTAATCCAATATTCCTATATTCCCACACCGCCACGCCTGATCTCCGGCCAGATCCTCCCCGCCCGCGCCCCCGCCCACCACCGGCGATGCGGGGCGCCGACCTCATCAACGCGGCGCTCCCCGACGAGCTCCTCGACGACGTGATCCGCCGCGTCGGGGCCGGCGGCGGGGCCAAGCGCGACCTCGACGCCTGCGCGCTCGTCTGCCGCCGCTGGCGCCGCCTGGAGCGCGCCTCCCGCCGCTCCGCGAGGCTCGCCGCGTCCGGGGAGCGCGCCGACGAGGTGTTGCGCCTCGTCGCCGAGCGCTTCACGGCGCTCGCCGAGGTGTCGGTGAACGAGCGCCTCACCGCCGCCGCCTCCGGATCCGGATCCGCCCGCAGATCGTACCGCTCGGGAATGGAACGGGGCCCGTACCGCGCGGGAATGGTACGCCTCGCCTCCACCTTCCCTTGATCTGGGTGCTGGGATCCCCGCTTGCCGCCTCTGCTGCGTCCGTCCGTACGCGAATCGCGACGAAAATGTCGCGTCTTGTGTCGGCGTCCTATTTTTGGGAGAAACATGGCGAATGTAGAGGACCTGTCGAGGAATTGGTGGCACTAATCCCCTAAAAAGACTAGGATTTCGTCCGCTGTGGAACTTCGAGTGCCTAAATCGTTAGGATTTTCCTTGGCTGCTGAGAAATTGCCGGAAATGCTAGAGTGGGAACAACTTTGCTGCATAAGACTGAGACATAACAAACTCAATTAAGTGTCATTCTAGTCCAATTTGTTAGGTTTCTTGAGAAATTCATTCTCGAAGCTATTTAGCTCCCTTGTTACTATGCACTCAGTACTTGTCTTGAACGCAGATTCATATGCCTAATCAGATCCGGCGCCGGAGGAGGCTGCCCCTCGCATCAAATCTTACTCTTCAAATATCCCCGTTCCCATTGGACCAGCCAGTCAGTGATCAAGGGTCTGAGCGCAGCTGTTTGACTGATGTTGGCTTGGGTCATCTTGCAAGGGGTTGCAGAGGGCTTGAGAAATTGAGTCTGGTATGGTGCTCTGCCATATCCTCAACAGGCTTGGTGAGGATAGCTGAGAATTGCAAGAAATTGACTTCTTTGGATCTCCAGGTAATTCTGTGCTATTGAACTTCACATATCTTTTTGGTTTTCCACCTTGGAGACTTGAAGCATTAGCTCTGTTAACAAAAGATTAATATTTATTGTAGAGTATCCGTGTAATGTTGTATGTGCAATAAAACAATATATATCTGGAAAAAGTTTGATTGAGGTTTTTGCTCCTGGTGAAGCTGTAAATATTGTTTTTCCTTACATATAGAAGTTAAAAGTAAATAATTTATATGCATGGCAGATTTGCAATCTGATGAGAAGGTCATTTTGTCTAGTTCCACACATATTTTTCCATTAGTCGCAATCCATATAGTTCCTCTTTCGTAGACCCGATACATATTTATGGACGAAGCATGAAGACAAATCTTAAAATGCAGGCTTGCTTTATTGGAGATCCAGGACTTATTGCTATTGGGGAAGGATGCAAGCTGCTTAAGAAATTGAACTTGCGATTTGTTGAAGGCACCACAGATGAAGGCTTGATTGGATTAGTAAAGAACTGTGGGCAATCGCTGGTCTCACTTGCTGTTGCAAATTGTCAATGGTTGACTGATGCATCTTTACATGCTGTTGGATCCCACTGCCCTAACCTAGAAATTATATCGGTGGAATCAGATCGTGTTCAAAGTGTGGGAATAATATCTATTGCTAAAGGATGCCCACAGTTAAAAACTTTGAAGCTACAATGTCTTGGTGCTGGGGATGACGCCCTAGATGCTGTTGGTTCATTTTGTCCGCTTTTAGAAATCTTGTCACTCAACAACTTTGAAGGATTTACAGACAGGTACTCAGTTTAGTTGCACTATCTAATCTAATGTTATGACCTGAAGTCCCAGTTTTGTTTTATATATGCTTGTTTTTCTTCTATCAATTTTGATTTGGACCTTTTGTTCTAGGCTAAAGAAATTGCTTTATTTTTTCCTTAAAATTTCCCATCTTGGCTTACCTTAAAAATAATAAAATATATTAATAGGTAAAAATGTTTGAAGGTTTTATGAAATATATTAGTAGGGCTTATGAACCCCATTATTTACATAAGAGCGAAGAAAATAAAACAGAATTTCAAGAAGAATGGAAATGAGAACAATGAGAACCATGATATGCAGTATGTACTATGTAGAACTGATGTAAACCAACTAGGATGCCAATTTGTTCTCATTGAATCATGTTTTCTTCTGCAACCGAAGGTACTGATCATCCATTAATATCCTTGCTTGCACCTTGTGCTTCAGTTATTTTCTGAGTTTTCTAAATGATTAGCTGACCAACTTTTGCAATTTCAGGAGCCTTACTTCAATTGCGAAAGGGTGCAAGAATCTCACAGATCTTGTTCTCAATGAGTGCCATTTACTAACTGATAGAAGCCTTGAATTTGTAGCTCGTAGCTGCAAAAAGTTAGCACGTTTGAAGATCAGTGGTTGTCAGAACATGGAATCTGTTGCACTGGAGCACATTGGGCGATGGTGTCCGTAAGTTTCCTTGGTGATAACATGCTATATTGAAATTCCTTGCTTCAGTTAGCACTTCTAGACATTTATTCTCCTTTTTATTAACAGTTCTTTAATGTCAACTTGATGTGCTGTAGTTCAAGTAAATTAAACATAATTTTGGAGAGAAGGGACAGGCTAAATAATATGTTAGGATAATGAATCCATTAATAAGCACAGTTTGGCTGTATATTAAATTTGAAACAGCATATAGGCTATCATAATCTTTGACTGATGATCAATGTAAATTATTGCATTATCAATATAGCTAAAAAATGCACCTAACAACAACAACAACAACAACAACAAAGCCTTTAAGTCCCAAACAAGTTGGGGTAGGCTAGAGTTGAAACCCAACAGAAACAATCAAGGTTCGTGCCTGAACCTTGATTGTTTCTGTTGGGTTTCAACTCTAGCCTACCCCAACTTGTTTGGGACTTAAAGGCTTTGTTGTTGTTGTTGTTGTTGTTGTTAGGTGCATTTTTTAGCTATATTGATAACTTCTGTTGCAACAACAGTATATGATTTGTGGTCGTATGCAAACAGGGGCCTTTTGGAGCTCTCTCTAATTTTCTGCCCCAGGATCCAAAACAGTGCATTTCTGGAGATTGGTAGAGGCTGCTCCCTTCTTAGGACTCTTTTTTTGGTTGACTGTTCAAGAATAAGTGATAGTGCCTTGTCCCACATAGCTCAAGGCTGCAAGAACTTAACAGAACTTTCTATTCGGCGTGGTTATGAGGTACTTGTTTTCCAAGTTTTGCATTGGTTTACGGAATCCTAGCATGCATGGAGATGGATAGCTGCATTTCCCCTGCAGTCTATATTTGGTTGTGTTCAGTTTGGAACTTTAAATGATTTTTTATGTTTGTATTCATAGTTTATGCATTTGGTATGCAGGTAGGAGACAGAGCATTGATGTCTATTGCTGAGAATTGTAAATCACTTAGAGAGTTAACGCTCCAGTTTTGTGAGAGGTAAATATAATGTATGATGTGATGTGCCTTATTTAACTTGGTATTCCAATCTGTATTGCCCTCTTTATTTTGAATTGTGAATCTTCAAGTTTTTTTTTTTCAGGGTATCTGATGCAGGGCTGTCTGCAATCGCGGAAAACTGCCCTCTGCATAAGTTAAACTTGTGCGGGTGCCAGCTAATCACTGATAGCGGATTGACTGCAATTGCCAGAGGATGCCCTGATCTAGTCTTCCTAGATATAAGTGTTCTTCGGGTATGTATTTCTCTATGATGCTGTAATTCTTATTTGAAAACTGTCCAAAATTTGAGTAAACAGAAAAATCCTCACTGCTTCACTTTACTTTGAGTACATTTTCTATCCTGAGATAGGATAAACATTTTTGTATTTTGAGTAAGAAAGCTACCTCCATTTTGCCTCAAAGAAGAACACTTGAAGCACATTTCACAGCATTAGAAAAGGTTGAACCCACATGTTTTATATCTAGGCTCTGGTATGCAGGAAGGCATACATATCATAATTTGACTATATTCTATAGGGAATCAATAAGTTCAATTGATATATGTAAATAACGAATGTGAAGATTTTGGGAACACAAAAGGATTTTTAACCCTGTCATAATACGATAAGAGTTGATAAAGCTGTGCAAATACAAAGTTTGGCAGGAAATGAATTCTTAATACCATCTTGCATGCAAAGGATCAGCAACCTAGTCAGTAAGTCTAGGTGTTTAAAACTGGCTACCTGAAACCTGTCACTTTAAAAGAACCAGCCCCACCTTGTGATAGATTTCTATATTCTTCATCAAAGTGGGTAGAAGGTAATGAAATTATCTTTGATTCTGCTGTTAGCTTCATAAACAGTTCTCTGCTGTCCATCCATAAGGAAACATGCTTTCATTTGCTATGTATAAATCATAGTCACAAAGTTCCCAAGTCGATGCAGTCAAGGAACGTGGTACTGTACTTGCGAGAGGTTTTTACATGGCAGTGTAAAAAAAAAAAACCTTGTCTACCTGGGTCGGGGATGTCATTCGATCCCGTTTTCTGTGACTATGGTATAAATAACAAGCGGGGCATTCTAGTTCCTTTGTCTGATGACTTGTCATCTTGCTTCAACATACAGATCATAAGTGACATAGCGCTTGCTGAGATAGGCGATGGTTGCCCTAAGCTCAAAGAAATCGCGCTCTCCCACTGCCCAGAAGTCACCAACGTCGGTCTGGAGCACCTTGTCAGAGGGTGCCTGCAGCTGGAGTCCTGCCAGATGGTCTACTGCCGGCGAATCACCAGCTCCGGGGTAGCAACCATCGTCTCGGGCTGCACCAGGATGAAGAAGCTCCTCGTGGAGGAGTGGAAGGTGAGCGAGAGGACCCGGCGGAGAGCGGGACCTGTCTTGTCGTTCCTCTGCACCGGGCTCTAGGTTCAGAAGGGAAATAAATCTGTGCAGTATCAACTCCTTTGTTACCCAGAAAGCATCTGGTGTGGTTTCTTTTTTCTTCGCTTTCTTTGGTTAAACAAAAGCTTCTGTTGTGTTGTTGCTGTGTTGTTTATCATAGCATCATTACCTCAAAAGTGTTGTATGAACTATTTATTTACTCACAAGCGTTGCACAGAACAAAATGTTGTACCAACTGTTGCATCAAAAGTGATGACCAAATAAAGATCATTTGAATAAACTGTCAAGAGCTTCATCAAAAGCCTGGTCGGATCTTATCCAAAACTACAAGCATTTTTTTACCGGACAGGATGCTTGCCTTATTCCAGCGGCCAAGGAAATACCTTGCTGCTTCTGTTAGCCTGTTTCTGATCACTCTTGGAATTGCTTTGGCCTGCAATATTCCGGACGGGTTGCCGTCTATGGCATCTGGAATCGCTTGCTGTCTCTCACTGCCCAAAGACATTTTCATCGTCAGATAAAAACCAAACGAGACGTCCCTTGCAGCTGCAAGGAACGCATGGATTCTTTGCTGCTTCCCTACGCTGTCGGCGACTTTGTTGCTCTTGTCCAAGCACAACGACACGACACGCCCATGTCGAGGCATCTATAAAGTGTATGTCCTCCATCTCGGCGTCAAGTAGAATCAGCAGGTACAATACAATACAAGCACGCGGCGGCGATGGTGAAAGGCGGCGGTGGCGGCGACGTCGAGCCAGCGACGAGCGCGGCCGGCGGTATGTGCGACCGGTTCCTGACGTTCCTGGCCAAGAACCTGTCGGTGAGCAGGATGAAGAGCATCGCCGAGGGCCCAAGGAGCGGCGCCGGCACCGGCGGTGGCCACCTTCCGCCGACGGAGGGAGGAGACGACGGTGGCGTGGAAGAGGACGAGTTCGCCATTCCCATCGAGAGGGCCGAGTTCGACTTCCAGTTGAGCGGCCATGGCGATGGAGGGCACAGCAGCGTCGTCGCGGCGACCATCCTGGAAGAGAGCGCCGCGACGATGACGACGAGGGATGTTCCTGATGAGAAGGACGGAGCTGCTGCTGCGGCCGCCGCTGCCGCCGACGGCATGGCAGCGCCAGCGGTGGCGGCGGTGGAGGAGACGAAGGTGAGGAGGACGGTGACGATCAAGGAGGACCGTCCTGCACAGGAGGCTGGCGGCAGCGGCGCCGCCTCGGCGGCGACGGCGACGGTGGAGAGGAAGAAGTCGCTGTTCCGGAAGCGGCAGGCATCGTCGGTCGCGGGAGGGGAGGAGCAGGGTGGCGCCCGCGTGCCGAAGCGGAGCGGGCTCCGGCCGCGGATGCCCCAGGTGCCGAGGGTGCCGTCCAACATCAACGAGCGGTCCTCCACCTTCATCGAGGAGCGCAAGAAGAGCTTCGGCGGCAAGCCGGCGCCGGAGAAGTGAACGGACGACGACGTACGTATTGCCGGAGCACCGCAGCCGTTGCCGGTGCAATGCTGCCGCACCATATGTGCGGTGCGATCACCGTGGCTCTCACACCCAGCAAGTGTGTGTAGTGTACGTACTCGTGTGTATGGGTTTGATGTATTGTGATTGCTGGCTAATCGTGTCCAAGGATGGTCTCGATGATCTTAACCAAACTGAGTATGGGTTTACAACTTTAGATCAATTGGCTTGACCCAAAATCTACTAAAATGAATTAGAACATCAAGCCACCTAGTAACTCCAAGAGATTCATAAAATTCACTTGCTACTGAACTATTGACTTCATATCAAGTTAACAAAACAAAGAGAGCTCAATCTATCAAGTTCTTGCTTTTAGGGAGTTCACTTCAGATTCATAAAATTCACTTGCTAGAAAACAATAACAGCTTATGAAGCTATTGGTAGAAAACCTCTCGGTGATGCTTAGGTGAAGAAATGAACTAAGTTCTAGTAGATAACTAAAAAAACATCGCTGAGTTCGTTGTACCACGATGCCCGTTGCATCGTTGGATTTGAAAAAGCAATGACAATCTATATATACAGGGTAGCCATACAACGGCCAAGCCAAGACAAATTAAAAGAGGCACCACCGAGTAGTGGTACATAAATCATTAACCGTCTATCTAAACTAGAAATTTTGAGTGATTTATGTGATGAAAAATTAATATAGACACAATGGGCACATATAGCATAGGAGGTTGAGCTCTACGTGAACACCCGCATGTGTAAATTGATTTTTATAGTACTTGGATTGAGTGGGTCCATACTTTAATCTGAGTATTAGTTTACTGCTCCAACTTGATAGTCTGGTTAATGTGAGACCAGTCAGCCTCGCATTTCCTAACTACTCCCTCCGTCGAGAAAAAGAATACACTTCACACTTCTCGCCTTGCAAACAGTCAAACGTGTTGAAGTTTGACTAAATCGATAAAAAATACTAACATTTATAATACCAACTAAGTATCATTAGATTAATTATAAAACATGTTTTTATAACAAACTTATTTAGGGACATAAAAGTTGATAGTATTTTTTTTATAAATTTAGTTAAACTAAAGAAAGTTTACTTGCCCATTGTTTAGTTGTCATGAGAAACATATTTCTTACTAGGAAGAAGTTAAGGGCTACATTTGCATGTTGAACTATGAGCTAGACCATTTTTTCCCCAAACATCATATAGATGAGGGGACAAAACAACTTATAATTTAGAAGGAAGTTGTAATTGCTAAGTCAGGACAAGTCAACTTATAATTTGGAACGGGCTTGCTAGAGCCCGGATGTCCGCGCTTGCAGTCCGTCTACTACGCCGTTTCGTGCGCCCACTGGGGCCTAGTGTTGCGGGGTCGAAACCGTGGCAAGCATGCTGTTCGAGTCGGTGTTAGAGTACGAGGTCTCGGGTGGCTCGGGTGGACTCAAGAACACAAGAATCACGCAGAGAAGACGCAACGGTTTGTCCTGGTTTGGGCCAATTCGGTCCCTACGTCCAGCAGCTGATGATCCTTATACTCAAGAGCACCTAAAATCTGGGGGTTACAACAGAGTGTAAAGGAAGAAGATTTGGTAGAGGGGTTAGCTCGGTGCTAATCCTAAGGTTGCCTCGCCACCGGTGGAGTCTCCCCCTCGTCGGAGAGGAAGGAGACGACGAGATGCGGTGGAGGAGGGGCTCTCGGTGCCCCTCTCCGGGTTGCCTTGCTCTTGGTGCAGAGCGAAGGCAGATGGAATGGAATGGAGTGTCTGGTAATCGAATCGGGATTCTCCTCCCTCTAGGTCCGACCTTATCCCTTATATAATGAGATAGGTCGGGTACAAGGCGGTTTAAGGGTTCTAATCTATGGTCTACGTGCGTCGGAGTCCAGGAGGGGCTTGCAGCGGTGCGCCGTGGACCGTCAAGGTGTCTTGGAGCCAAAGAAGCCTAGGCGTCATTCGGCTGCTTTGTTCTGACACTATGCGTGTCAGACGGTGTCAGTTTGGACCAGCCTCCCCCGGGTTAGACCTTCTGGAGTCTTCTTGGTGGCGAAGAAGGTCGGCTCCAGGGGCTGACGTGTGGGCCCAGAAGACCCCGAGCCCCTAGATGTGACCCTGTCGGAGGAGCAGTTGGCAGGGGCATGCCTAGGGAGCAGTGCCAGGGAGCTCTCGGGCATCGGTAGCCTGGGGCTTGTCTTCTTGTGCCCGAGCCTTGGCTGGCATCGTTAGCCGGGCAGGAGCTAAGGACCGAGCTTGGTTGTGCCGTAAATCGGGAACCCAGGCTCGAGGAAGCCCCTAAACCCTAGGCAGAAGCTGCGGTCAATTCAGGCTTGGTCGGGTCTCTTTGCCAGAGGGTGTGCGCGAGGGTGCCCGATGGACATAGCCCCCGAACCCCCAGGCGATCCTGATGGGGTCGGTCGGGGGTCTTCTTTGTTCGGGAACCGTTGGACCCAAGGCTTAACATACCTGCATGTTAGGATCTCGTCACCTAGATTGCCTTGAATGCCACTAGCATTGAGAAGAGGGGGAGGGGGCGGCGGATGCCTAGCCGGCGCCTAGAAGAGGAGACACCAAGGCGAGACAACAGAACGCGACAAGGGGGATGAAACACCCGATCTACTTTTGAAACATCTAGATGAAATATTTGCAACATACGTTTGAAGACAGATGAGACACTTAAAACATGCTCTGAAACACGTGAAAAGTCATTGCAAAGCATATGCAACATCCAGATAAAATACTTGCAACATATATGTGAAACATATGCAGCATCCAAATAAACACGTTTGAAACATACGTATGAAAAAACAGATGAAATATTTGGAACAGACGTTGGCAACATACGTGTATAGCCATTGCAATATATGCAACATCCTGATCTACCTATGCAGCATCCACATGAAACACTGGAACATGCATATGAAACAGCTAAAAGACTTGAAACGTGTGATAGAATTGCCCAATTTATACAAGATCAAGTACGGCGGTCCCCGTTTAACACGTTGACGCGCACATACTTTCACTTATATAAACCCGGTAGTCTGCCGAGTGTCACGAAGGACCTCGGTAAATCCACATCACAACCAAGATCGCCATAGATTAAGCAAATACACATCACATACACGGAGTTTGTAGCGGAAATGATATTACAATAGAGTTCACAAATAAATAATACAACATCAAGTTCAAATCTGATTTAGAGAAAAGAGCATAGCTTTGAAATGATTACAATAACCTAAGTTCCGAATACATTGCTAGCATAAGTAACATCCCCAACAATAGCATATAGATGAGAAATAAATATAGAGTCGCCGAGCCCACCGGTGGTTACCCACCATCTTCAGCAGGGTGAGAACTTCACCTGCAACATGGTGGGATAAACCCTAAGTACTCAAATGTACTTAGCTAGACTTACCCGATAGGAGAGAAATAAAAGGACACTCAAGGATATGCAAGACTTATTTGGTGCAGCTGGTTGGATAGCATAACTTTGCAAAAAGAGTATTACTACCATAAGTCCTTACTTTCAATATTTTATTCAATATCTTATTCAATATCTTAGCATCAAGTT